ATTAGGAAATCGCAACGTCTCAAATCGCGATTTCGATTTGATTTCGATTAATCGCACAGCCCTAATATAAATATAGTATTTTTTTTTTCTTTTCTTTTTTTAGTTATTGCATTATTTGCATTAATATATTTTTGTTCAATGGATAGGCCTACTTTATTTTATTATTATTTTATATATGTTTTGCAAAAAATGTTGAGAACAAACAATAATTCTTGGACCACAAGACTGTTTAACAGTGTTATTAAATTATTACTTTTTTAAAACTTAACTTAAACACTAATATAATAATATTAATATAATATAGGAATTTTGAGATCATACAATAAACTTTGCACCCTCTGCAACACCACCCCAATCTCCCTGTCGAAATCCCTGCCTTGAGGAAACAAAGTACTTCCTCATTGCGGTTGAGTTTCCTCTAAAAGCATAGGCCTTTAATTAGCATTAACATTTCACCTGCATGCTATTGGGCTCAATTCTCCTACAAGAAACCCAAAAGTCACAGGTGCTTAATTGCACCACACGCCTCTGGAATCTTCTTGAACTTGATAAACATCAACAAATTGCAACTTCACCCATAAAAGAAGCAGTTTAGCAGTGGAAACGATGGGTGTATTGTTTGCAAAAGGCTGCATGGTGTGTGTCTTTGCTTCTGGATCGATAGTCATCCGTGGGCCGTAATGAGGCCTCTTGCCCAATGGAGCAGCTCTATTAGTGGCATGAATAAGTTATCGACGGCTGTGCTGAAAGAAAGACTAAAACAGACACCGTCGTGGCTTTCTTCTGTTTAAGAACGATGACGATGTCTCTCTAAACATTGCCTGTTATGGTTGCAGCTGATCACAAATGCGATTTCTGCATGGCACTGCTTCTCAGCTGCAGCCTCAGGCCATCATGGGAGCTAAATATAGGTTAAAACATGCAGTGGAAGAAAACAGTGCCAGGAAAGACAAAGCCAGAGGAGGTGAGATATAAGGCGTAGTGCTGCAGCGGTCATGTCGATTTATGCAGCTGATATGAAAAACGGACTTCAAACTGACTGCTGGATGCAAATTGCACAACTGCAGTGTTCCATCTCCCACAGTTTTTTGGATTCCTGCAGCTTTTCTTCACAGTACGGCTCTCTATTCCTCACACCATCCTCAAATGTATTCAAAGGTTGCAGGTTGTTTATGGAGCTGCATTTGAGCAGAAAACATTCAGAACTTCTACTGCAAGCAGTGGACAAAAAGTGAACTAGAAAACTTGTTCCATTTCGGCTGCGACTGACGATGTAGAGTGACGTACGATGTCAAGTACAAAACCATGTGATCAAAATTGACATAAAAACATCAAGAATTTATGATTTTTAATCATTCTGAAATGTTGCGATTGCAGCAATCAATGCAGATCAACATTATATGCAAATAATGTCAACTATGAAATGTGGTTGAAATTTACATTGAAACATTAAGAATGGAGAAGATTTGAGAGGAAAACAGAAGCAATAACAATAAATCAAGAGTCATAAATCTAGTCGTATGATGATGTCAGCAACGAAACGATGTAGTCAACATTTACATTGAAACATCAAGAATGGATAATTTTCAGTCGTTTTGCGAATACTGCAATATTGCGATGTTCTCTTGCAGGAATTGATGCGGATTCAACATTATTTGCAAGTTTGTTTAATTTCATCTTAAAGTGCCCCATTATGGATTTTTGAAAATTACCTTTCATGCAGTGTGTAACAGCTCTAAGTGAATGAAAACATCCTGCAAAGTTTTAAATCTGAAAGTGCACTGTGTATAAAGTTATTGTCTCTCAAAAGTCCACTGAATCATTGAAACGAGTAGTTTTTAAAACGAATCCCAAGCTGTTTCATGTTGACATCAACATGAAACATTAGCATATTGCCCGCCCACTTGTTGGTCTTTTCCTGTTGGTCTGAATGAAAATGCAGATTCATTCTTTGCCACTAGGTGCCGCTTTTGGAGCAATAAAAATAGCGGTTTCCCCGGTAACGCTGTACACAAAAGCAGCACTGCGCTCACAAACATTGCTTTATCAGGCATTACAGACATGATGAAATGAAAATGAGACCAATCTGACCAATCACCGCAGATTAGCGTCACGCAAAGGAGGGGTTTGAAAAAATGAATCGTTGAGCGAATCGTTTGGGAGTCGTTGAGCAAGTAAGGTAAAAATAAATGCATATTATAAGACAATGAAAGTGTTTTTGACCTTGCATGCATGTCAACCTGTTGTTGGGGACTCCCAAAACCAAAATATGAACCTTTCATTACCCATAATAGGGGCACTTTAAAATGTCAATTTGGAAGGCAAATGAAAACAATACCAAGGAATCAAGAGCCATAAATCCAATCGAATGATTAGATGTCAACTATGAAACTATGTGGTCAAAATTTACATGGAAGCATCAAGAATGGATGAGTTTTTGCAAATGTTGCAATGTTGCATTTACAGGAATCAATGCAGATTCAACTATCATAAAACACAAATTTAAGGGGAAAAAAACTAAAGCGAAATCAAGAGTCATAAATCCAGACGAATGATGAGATGTAAACTTTAAAAAAAAACTTTGTGGTCAAAATGTACATTTAAAGGGCATTGCATTCTGAGTTATTTACACGGTTAAAGAGTTGGATTCTCATGCTAAACATGGCCAAAGTTTAAAAACACGAGTTGGACGTATGACGGAGTATTTCTGTGCCAAATGCACTCCTGCTGGATTTGAATAAGTTTCTGAAAGTTGTTTTCAAGTATGGAAATCCTTATATGGGCACTTCTCGCAGAAGAGCGAGCGCACACATCAACCAGAGCAAGAGTGCCCCCATCAACGTGCTTCATTTGGGTTATGGAAGTCGTTGGCAGCGCTGCACAGGACTTGCTCGAGAACAATGTCTTCAAAGAAGTGTGTTTTTGGATGTGAGGGAAAGATAACCTTGTTCAGCTTCCCAAAGAACCCAGCGTTACGTGAACAGTAGGGATGCCGGTTGAAAATCGATTCAAATATGTGATGATTCAAATCGGTTGAGATGCTAAACAAATCGCGATTAATTTAGGTGTAGGAGTTTATATGAATGCATGTCTGAGGGGAACTTACTGTCTTTAGAAAAGTTTAGATGGTACTTTTCATCTTGCCTCTGTATAATGCATATTAAAGTTCATAAGTTTAGCGCTGCTTTGTTTACAGCGGAAACCACGAAATGCTTTAAGCGCCACCTGCTGGCAGAGAGTGAATCTGCATCTCATTCAGCTCTGCTGTTTCATGCAGATATTTTTATTTATAGTTTCACAAAACTGAAGTCAAACCATTCTGTTATACAATTGTACAAATTATACAATCTTATTTAGTTTAAAAACTGCTCATGTTGCATGTATGCAGCATCTTCATTTTGTTAAAAATAATAATAATAATTGTGAATCGAATCGAATCGTGAAATCAAAATCGTGAATCGAATCGAACCGTGAGTTGAGTGAATCGTTACATCCCTAGTGAACAGTGGATACAGTGTTTTTTTGTGTGTTTTGTTGGCAATCGGCACGTAAATGCATATAATGTAAACAACACGAACATGCTTGCAACTCTTCAGCTTCGCCCACGGCACGTCTCCAGGAGCTCAGCGGTTTTCGGAGCGAATCGTAAAGCTGTATCTTTCTTTTATAAATCTGATAAAACTAAAGACTCTTTGGAGATATGAAGGATGCAATACTACTCTACAGGTACGCAAGATTAACATGGCATTTAAACACCAAGCAAGCACGATTTTTAGTCGTTTTGTGAATATTGTGATGTTATGATTGCAGGAATCAACACAGATTTAACATTGTTTGCAAGTTTGTTTTATTTAATCTTAAAACGTAAATTTGAGGGGAAAAAATAAACAAAATCAAGAGTCATAAATCCAGACAAATAATGAGGTGTAAACTCGAAAACATTGTGGTCGAAAATTACATTTAAAAACACCAAGCAAGCATGATTTTTAGACATTTTGCGAATATTGCAATATTGCGACGTTATGATTGCAGGAATCAATGCAGATTCAACATTGTTTGCACGGTTGTTTTATTTCATTTAATTTAATTTTTTTGTTTTTTATTTTATTTTAACACGTACAATTAAGGGGGAAAACAACAAAATCCAGAGCCATAAATCCAGTCGAATAGATTGAGATGTCAACCATGAAACTATGCTGTCGAAATTTACATTGAAACAACAAGAATGGATGATTTTTAGTCATTTTGCGAATACTGCGATGCTGGATTTGCAGGCATCAATGCAGATTCAACATTACTTGCAAGTTTATTTTGTCTTAAAACATAAACCTTAAAAGGAAAATGACAGCAATTGCAAGGAATAAAGAATCATAAATCCAGTCAAATGATGAGATGCCAACTTTGAAACTATGTGGTCGAAATTTACATGGAAACATCAAGAATGAATGATTTTTAGCTGTTTTGCGAATATTGTGATGTTGGGATTGCAGGCATGAATGCAGAATGAACATTATAAAAGACAAATCAAGAATTCAGGATCCATAAATCCAGTCAAACTGAACATATGTTGAACCCTGAACCCTTATTCAACCATAAACCTACCACCCTAACTGTAACCCAAACCCCAAACAGTAAAAGCAAATATTTTGGTACACAAGGACTCACCGTATGCAGTCATGGTGCCTACGTAGGGTCCGTCCATCACGCTCTGGTTCTCCTCAGCGAGGGCTTTGATATATCGCTTGCTGAGGTCCAATATTTGCATACGTAGTTGAGCGCTACTTTCGTGTGTCACCCTCTGCTGGATGGTGAAATGAAGCAGCATCATCCCCCAAATGAAGCCAAAACTCACCAGGAAGAATCCCAGCTTTTGGGAGGACAACTTCCACAGGTACACAGAGCCCATGGCGAGGAAGTTCGTTTGTGTGATTGTGTGAAGTGTGTGCGATTCAGGATGAGTTGAGCTTCATGATGTTTGAGGGGCGTGGTCTCTACTCATTGTAGTCCATTCCTTTTAGCACAAGCTGTCAATCAAACCAGAGACACACCCACCGGATGCGCCATCACAATGAAGACACTGGAAAGAACAGGAAGCGTCAAAATTAGGGAAAAAAACAATTAATCTTACACAATTAAACGACAAAGAAGACATTAAGACGTTATTTTCAGGTGACATTTTTGCAGTACAGTTTTTTAATTGGCAGACAATAAAATGGGAAAAAAATCTAAAGAGATTTGGGCCTTTAAGCAACTACCCAGAAGACCATAGTAACCACCAAAAAGCCCTTAGACATGCCACAGATTACCATATTAGGAACCACCCAAAAGAACCAAGAAATTGCCAGATGACCCTAGCAACCACCCACTTGACCCTAGCAACACTTAGAACACCTTAGCATAAACCCAAAACAGACAAAAAATAAGCCAGAAACCTAGTAACCAGCCAAAAGACCCAATAAATTCAGATGGCCCTGGGTGGCAACTAGGGTTGGGTATCGTTTGGGCTTTTTTCGATACCGGTGCCAAATCGATACTTTTAAAACGGTTCTGGTGCCTAAACTGTGCCTGAACCGATACTTATTAGAAAATAAATAAATAAAAAATCCCCCAAAAATGATGGACTGGCCATTAGAATAGAAATAGAATAGAGAGTGCAAATGTTAGAGTGTCAAGTTTTTTAATAAAAAAAAACAAGCAGATAAAATTAGAAGTAGCATTAGAATAGAGAGTGCTAGAGTTAGAGGGTCAAATGAAGATGAAAGAGATGTGTTTTCAGCCGTTTCTTGAAAATATTAAGGACTCAGCTGCTTGGATTGAGCTGGGCAGGTCAATCCACCAGGAGGGAACAGTTAATGTAGAAGTCCATGAAAGTTTAATCTTAAGTCAGAAAGTGAAAACAACATGGACACTCTCGTTACTACAAAGATGTGTTGGATTTGTATCATTAGAGCTTTCCGACTTGAGTTCACGTGCATTTTCTCAGTCAGGAAATTATTTTTCACGTGCGGTGCCAGTGATGATGCTTCTTACGTCCGTTTCGGAGAACCAGAGGACAAATATTTCAATCGATCGCTCAGGCATGGCACCGAAATGAGGCACCGAAATCTGTGTTCGGATTCGGTTCAAGTACATACCGGTTACATAGGTACCGGTGCCATATTGGTACCGGGTTTCGGTACCCAACCCTAGTGGCAACCATGCAAAAGACCCAAGAAATTACCCAGATGACCCTAGCAACCGCTCATTTGACCCTAACAACCACCCAGTTGACCCCAGCAACCACCCAGAAGGTCCTAGCAACCACCCAAAAGACCTAGATGACCCTAGCAACACTCAGAAGAGCCCAGCACCCACCCAGAGGTCCTAGTAACCACCCAAAACCAAAAGACTCTAGAAAAGACACAAATGGCCCTAGCAACCACCCAAAAGACCCAAGAAATTACCCAGATGACCCTAGCAACCACTCAATTGACCCTAGCAACACTCAGAGGACCCCAGTAACTACCCAGAAGGTCCTAGTAATGATCTAAAAGATAGCAGTTTCCCTAAAAGATCATATATGATCGTGGTTTTGCGCAGCTTGTCAGTGAACAACGGCTCTGTGTAGTAAATGCTGCTCCGTGTGAAAGCACGCACGTGATGGAGATTTACCGCTGATTACAGAACCGGCTTTACTAAGAAGATGCGCATTAAATATCACATGCGATTTATCGTGCAGCCCTACTAGAAACCACTCACGTGCCCTAACATCTGCTCAGAAGACCCAGATAATTACCCAAAATGTCCTAGTAAAGACTCAAAAGACCCCAGAAATGGCCCAGCAAGATGACTCTAGCAAGTAGCAACCACTCAAATGACCCTAGCAACCACTCAGAAGAGTCTAGAAAACTCAGACAAGGTCCAGAAGTGGCTTAGCTGCAAAGCATGCAAAGGAAACTATTTTCTTCCACCTGTGCTGCCAGGCAACGTGACTACAGCTGTGACATCATAATGGATGACTGCATCACCAGGGTCACAATATGGTCTCTGGCGTTTCACATTGTTTGGGATTAAACAGTGTCTGACGTAACAGACCGTGCCATGGCATTTCAATGAGCAGATCGAGCCAAAGCAAAGGATGGAAACGTTAAAGCAAACCTAGACTGACAGGCTTCCAGAGAACAAAAGACAAAATAGTCATTTTACATGAACACAAATATACTTGTTTGCATTTGGGCATAGATTTAAATACAGCCAGCAGAAGGGGATGCCACATAAAGGACACACAATAACTACAGAAATTTCTGATGTAGTTGAACCCTTGATGACCCTATAATCCCAGAATAACCAGTTTTAGAAACTCTTCAATGCCCTTTCTGACCTACTATATGTGACCTTTGATATTTACTATGTTGTTTAATGAATGTTGTTAAAGCAATAAGCCACTGGAGGCAGAGGTGTGAAGCAGTTCTTACAACCTTATTAAAACCACTGTGACACACCCTTGAGTAACAGTAACAGGATAAAATTTAGAGCCTAAATAGGTTTAAAATGTGGGATTATAGTAAGAATAAATGTTATATTGATTGTAATGTGATACTGTCTTTAACATATATATAGTAGATATTGTAGCTGGCATAAATGCATTGTCTCTAGCATAAAATTGTCGCTAACCTAAGTTTAGGGCCCTATGAAATTATCCCAAGCATTTAAGCTCCTGTCTTTGCGTTTCTCCCCTGTCGGATCTACTTCGTCTGTACATGTGTCATTCCTCGCTCCTGTGTTGGATTACCCCAGTGTTTCGTGAATTAAAAAGACTGTTTATTATACTCCTTGTCTCCATTGTTCCTCAGACAGTGTAAGTGTGACAATAAAGCGCTGCATAAAAGCATGATATTATAACTATATAATGTGACACCTCAGCCAATACATTTTTAAAAACTATTTGCTTTGCATATTCACATTCTGACAAACAATGCTTTCCTCTAACAATCCAAATGGGTGTAAAATTTACATATATAGAAATTATGTACGAACGTCATTGACATTGTCTGGCAAAGTGTGCTCAGGTTCTACAGAAGCAGGATGCTATGAAACTCCCTCAGCCAGGCACTGTTCACGATTCCAGAGTTTGCCGACACATATTTCCCACTTTAGGCAGAAGAATTCAAAAGTCAATTATTCACAAGTGGTCGCAAATGTCTAATGAAACGCAAAAAGAAAAGAGAGCAAAGGGCTGTGTTTGATCTTAACGCAATCATGAAATACAACAAAATAGACTTTGAAGTTCAATGCTGGTAAGGAATCCTTCCCAGACAACAACTGCCTTGCTTTGCCAAACGGACGTGCTGGACACACACTTAAACTCCCACACACTATCTCCCCAATGTACTATTGTACAAAATATCAATTAATCTTAGCTACTAGGGATGCTCCAATCAGGATTTTTGCAGCCGATACGGAGTACCGATTTCTTGTCATGGTGATCGGCCGATACCGATTCTGATGCTTCAAGCTTTATATAGACTGTTTCATCTGGCGCACACGCCTGGCCCGAAGTTAACTTCCAGTCTGTGTTTGTTTATCAGTCTGGCTATGGCGCCAGCTACAAACACAGTTAAAGTTAAGGTGGTGAGTAGACTGAAGTTGGGCTCAGGTGGTTGTGCTGTGGTATGTATTTCCCATACATTTATGTATGTGTGGCGCTCACCACAATATCAAAACTGACTGATTTTCCAAAAGGCTTCGCTGAATAAACATAAGCACGTTTTCATTTAATCTTGCATGTTATATGCCTGATAAAGCAGCGTTTATGAGCTCAGCGCTGCTTTGTGTACAGCAGTTACTGGGGAAACCTGTTTCTCCCGCTTTAAAGCACCTCCTGCTGGTAGAGAATTAATTAGCATTTTTTGACTAAGTCCGTCTGATTTACGCTGCAAACATATTTTGCTTTTCCAAATCCATGTGTGGGGCAATAAAAAATGCATTCTGATTATTTGCGGGTGGGTCACGGCTGGATAAAATAAATAATAAATGATGCAAATATTAACAAAATTTTTTTCATGAGGCAGACAATTTCGTGCGTGTGTGTGTGTGTGTGTTTTCGTTCACCTGATCGGGAAGTTGCAGTGACAGAAACGGTGACATTCCAGATAAAGTTTGAAAGGAGTAAAGCCTGTGTTAATGCTATTGAGTAGGCTAATATGGCCAAAGAAGATATTTTGTTTTATAAATAAACGTTCATTTAAAAGCAGCCCACGATCAGCGTATTATGTTACCGTTATCCCTTACGGCTCCGACGAGGTTTTGTTCCGTCCTCCACGCTGTGACAACTCACAAAATACTATTTTTAGCCAAGCAGCGTAGAGAGCTGCTTCAGAAACATGCCGCGGTTGGCTCATAAAAACAAGCACTGACTAGAGCGGCCGCGATCAGCTCCAGTGTACCGACGAAACATGCTACCTATCAGATTGTGCTAGCAAAAATATATTTGCATTGTTTTAAGGGTACGTTTAGGGTAAGGGTAGGTGTGGACGGGTAGGTTAAGGGTAGGGGTAGGTATGGACATTTAAAAAAGCCTCAAACCACATGAATAAGATGCTGGTAGCACAATCTGATAGGTAGCATTTTTCGCTACCTATCTTTTTAATGGGAGTAGCACAATCGGAGCGTGTAGCACAAATCGTCAGAACTCCGGTAGCCGTGGAGCCGTAACGCGCCGCAGACACGTGCAGTGAGGCGCAGATCAGCTCTAATGTCACTGAATCTGCTGTTAAAAATTAACCATCTATTCATCATATCATCATGCAAAACATACACGACAAATAGCAAATATTTAATTGTTTCTCGAAACGTCATAGCATTTCCACACCAGCGCCAAATCATTTTATGTCCCCACTCCCCACGTATCATGTACATCGTCACACGTTGACGTCATCAAATCGGTTCGTGAGATCGGCCAAGTGTAGTGAGTACCGATCGAGTCATAAAATGTGATTATCGGCCGATACCGATCTCCGGCCGATCGATCGGAGCATCCCTATTAGCTACAATTATTAAACACTTCAATATGAATCACACAAACGGAAAATCTACAAA